AGAGAGAGAGAGAGAGAGAGAGAGAGAGAGAGAGAGAGAGAGAGAGAGAGAGAGAGAGAGAGAGAGAGAGAGAGAGAGAGAGAGAGAGACAGCTGAGAGAGCTTGTGGCAGCCATAGCTGCATCTTCTTGTACAAAGAGCATTCTGGGCGGATACTGTCTTCAAGTTATATCTCACATGTGCTTTTGTGCGTGTGCATGGAGTGAGCGTGTCGTGGATGGTTTGTCTCGAACCACAACCACATAGTCTCCTCTCTCTCTCTCTGTCGACAAGGCTCTCGCCGGATGCCACCGAAGAGTCTGGTCACATAGGTGCTCTCCTGCTGTACCCCAGGTATTTATCCGCCCACCACTCCTCTCCTGATGCCCCCTCCTACTTCCCACCTTCTCCCTGGCGCTGCACTCCCTCCCAACTATAGCCGAGTGCACATGGGCAGCAGCTCCCTTTCTGCTGCTTGCCTGTGTTGGCGTTGGCCACAAGCGCTTTCACAGCTTTGCTGAATGTTACGGCCGCTGCCCGTGCCCATGCCCGCGCCCAATGTGCCTCCCTCTGCCCCAGACTGCTCTGTCATCTTGTTTGGGGGGGGTCTGGACTCTCTGCCCGGTAGGTACTGCCTCCAGTCCGGCCCCTACTGGGTCAGGTAGTTAGCTGTGTTGGAGCCCCGACTTGAGGCCTACGGGACTACTTGGCCCAGCCCAAGAGAGTCCCCCGACATTTTCAGCCACAGCCTTCACTTAGGGCTGCGATGGACTCTGGGCCTTGCACGCTAATCCCCCTTCAGTAAAAAGAAAGGAGAAAGCGAAACAGAAAAAGTAAAAGACAACGCCTTTGGTGTGCCTTGAACTACCTTCCACTCTCCCCTCCTTCCTTATCTGTGCTGTCTGCTCCTATCCATATGGGCAGTGGAGAGGCTCAGCTAGATTCCATGGACAAACAAGATCCTCCCTCGGACTTTCTTCATTTCGTTAGCAAATGCAGTCTTTGTTGATGAATCGTGGCAAAGCCTATATACGACTGAAATCAGTCATATAGACTTCTTGTGAGTGAAATAGACCCAGTGTGAGTGAGTCATAATCTAGGATATGCTGTGTTCTGTTCCTTTGTCTCTCAGTCATTGGTTCGTTTTGGTGCATTCATATAGACTTCTTGTGCGTGACATAGACCTACCGTCTTCACCCAAATAGGACTCCTGTCATTATCGCTGCATCTGGACTGAAAGTTGGCCCAAATGCAGCTATAATGTCCAGGCGTTCTATTCGGGTGAAGACGGTAGTGTGAGAGAGCCCTAAAGGATGTGCTGCGGAGATGCTGTCCGCCATCCTTTTGTCTTTCAGGCATTGTTTCTTTTTGGTTTGTGAACTTGTGGTCTTTGGATTTGGAAGGCGATCTGGCAACGTGGATTAACATCAGACCGGCATTCAGCTTGGCCTCCAGCGCTTCCGTTGTTCGCTAGGACTTATGAATGGATGGTGTTTGTTTGCGTCTCGTTTGGCTGCATCTGTTGTGTAGTCATCGGAAGAAGCGGCTCCGTCAAATCAGGAAGATGATGCAGAGAGGCCTCATAGACCCAGAAAAGGAAGACCCATTTTCTCTCTTCATGGCTTCCACCAACATCAGATACTCTTATTATTCTGAAACACACAAGATTCTGGGAAACACGTTTGGGATGTGTGTTCTGCAGGTGGGTACACAGTCAGAGAACGTATACCATCTGTTCTTGCAAAACAGAGTGCAACATACATCATTCTTCTGATGTACTGTGGTGGGTCAAGTCCTTCATCATTTGTTTGATCATCAACGATGTCATTATTGAAGTAGATGGTTCACTCACTTCATCTGTTTGTTGAGCTTGTTGTGTGTGCACTGTGCATGTGTTACCTGCTGAGTAACTGTCTACGGTTTACCTGATCGCTTAACAGCTTGGTTACCTGTTTGCCTATGGCCCTATGGGTATAAAGTACTACAAACTTGATGGGTTACCTGCTGGGTTAACCTGCTTGGGTTTCCTCTTTGCCCATGGGTATCAAGGTACTATGAACTTTATGGRTTACCTGCTTGGTTACATGTTTGTGCCATGGGCATAAACTTGGTGGCAATGATGGGTTATCTGCTGGGTTACCTGCTTGGGTACCCGATTGTCTCTGGGTGAAGAGTTGACAGGTTCCCTGCTGTCCATGTGCTGAGATGATGAAAAAAAACAAACGAGTGCTGCTGCAGTAAATACGAGTAATGGGAGCTTAGTCTGCTATAAACTTGGTGGCAATGATGGGGGTTACCTGTTGGGTTACCCTGTTTGGTTACTGTTTGTCCATGAGTATAGACTTGATGGCTTACCTGCTGTCCATGTGTTGAGATAATGTAAAAAATATACGAGTGCTGGGTTATCTGCTGCGAGAAATATGAGTAATGGGATCTTTTCAGTCTGGTATGTTTTCACTGCAGTATAAATGCAGTTCCTGCCTTGTGACTGAATGCTACGTACTTATACTGCGTAGTTTATACGGTTTTATACCCCATCAGTATGAAGTATGTAACAGATAACCCAGCACTCGTATATATGAGTGCTGGGGTATCCTACCCCGCACATGCAGTGGTCAATCGGGAGACCACGATTTCAAATCCTACCCCATCACATGAAGAGAACAATTTAAAGGGCTACCACCCTTTTAACAGAAACAAGATGGAAGGAAAAGAAGAGGAAGGGAAAAACAGTGCTGGCCCTGCTGGGATAAAACATAACACTGTGTTTTGAGACTGCATATCGAGAAGTGGTCTTTTTGTCGGGGTTTGGAGAGTCAGATAACGGATGACGCCTTTTCCTTTCTTTTTTTCTAACTATGCCGAGCGAGGAAACTATGATTCCGAAACCACAAAAGAATGGGTTGTAGGGAGGGGGGTTAAATCAATTTGAGAGCTGAAATGAAAGCAATAGACTCGTTGTACAGGTCTTGGGGTGCAGCAGGTTTTTCTTGCTGAAGAAGGCACACATCCTGCTGCTTACAGATGAAGTTTGTGTTAGCCTGGGTGAGGTCAGTTAACAGTCCAGAATGCTTTGGTTGAGCTGCACTTGAGCGTCTTAACCATGGTTAACGTCGGCCAAAGCATTCCTAAGATGCTGTGAGTGTGACCTCTTCTTTCGTTTCATTTAAGGTCTTAACCATGGTTGCACCGGCCTGGACAGCTGTGGGACCAGGGCTGGAAGGCATCCAAATGTCCCGCATTTCCAGACAGATATATGGAAACTGAACAGTAGGTTTCCGGGGCAGGTTTGGTCCGGCTCAGCTGATCTGGACGTGTCCTGATACGAAATGAGGGGAGATATTATTCGCTACCATACTCTTCCCAAAGTAACACCGGGCTGTTATATTTGACTTATCATAAAGAAGTCACTCACATTTTTTTTCCAATATGAGGCCTTTGTGATATTTGAATTGCAATAATGACCTTTCTCAGAATCATTCTCTCTTTCTCGCTTTTCTTTTCTTCGAGCCTGAATCGGTCTAAGATAGAGTCCTTTTAAATCTGTAAAAGGTTTAAAGACGTGTATTGGGCTGTCTTCATTGCGGTTTTCCGTTAGGAAATCCATGGATTGCAAATAATAAAATAAAAATCAAATTTCATGTTACTTCATGGTGAATATGGTCTGCTGAAAAAAATTCCTCTAATTCAGTTGCATTAATTAACAAAACACAAAACTACACTATTTCAGAGTACTACCGATATTACTGCATTGCTAGTCTGCAATAGCCCACACAGTTTGCAGCCTGAGAAATCCCTAGTTTTGCTCATCAGAGTCATTGTTTGCCGGGACTCTTGATTGATTTGGACTTTGTTGCAATCACCTGCAAAGTTGTGCAAACAGTGAATCCTTTGTTTTTTTCTGAGCTTTTGCGGTTGTTCTGTTTTTACTACTTTTTAGTTGATGGGATTTCTGCTTTCCGAGTCTTGTTCTTGGTGGGCGCGGTGGTTGCTGATATCTGTTCTGGCAAGTTGCTCCCTTGTCTGGTTGAAGATCTGGTGATCGATACGAGCTGTTGAAAAGCTGCTGAGGGAGGTTAATTATTATGTAGCCTGCGTGAACATTTATTGGTCCGTCTTGAACCTTGATTGTTCTGTGGATGCAGGATTTTGAGGCTTTGACTCCAAATCTCCTTGCACGTACGATTGAAACTGTGGAGGGAGGTGGAGCTATTGTTCTTCTGCTTAGTGCACTCTCTTCTTTGAGCCGGCTCTACACGTTGGCAATGGTATGGACGGGTTGCAGTTGTTTCTGTTGCTTGTTCCGTCTAACATCATCCTCTGTACCCCTTGAACGTTCAGACACAGTGGTATTGCCACTGGTTCCTCCCAACGTTTTGGAATAACAGTGCATGCACACCATTTGAACTCATAACTTGGCAATCAGAAGTTTTCTAAGGGCATACTCACACTAGGCCCTCAAAATCGCAAAATCGCAAAATCAGCGGCCAGATTGAGTCCTTGTAAAAGAAGGACTCGATCTGGCCGCTCATTTTGTGATTTTGTGATTTTGAGGGGGCCTAGTGTGAGTATATAGTCTAAGATGACCATGTCAGCACATTTGAACTCGTGAATTTCCAATCAGAAGTGCTGAGATGACCGTGTCTGCACGTAGAAAGTACAAACTTTATCATCCCCTGCCATGCCACCCCAACTGTTTTCATTCCCTGTTTGATCCTGCTGCTGTTCCTTTTTTTTGTTTGGGGGGGGGAGGAGGGGAGAACAACAAATCGATTCATATTAAAATTCATTGGTCGAGGAAGAGGGAGAGAGGGGGGRGGGGGGGGGGGGGGGGTTCCTCACAACTCAACCCGGAGTTATCCTGGCAGCATTAGCGAGTTTCGGTTATATGAGAAATTACTCTGAAGATTCAGTGAAGATGATTAATCAACCGTATTCCTGATTTACGTCTGCTGGTGTTCTGAGTTTCCGATGCTGAACGGAGTTCTCAATAATTCACATGACGTGACTCATAAGGTGATGTATATGTGATGTGGACCACGACACTGCTTGAAAGCCGCAACGGTTGGTCCTCCTGTCTGGTCCAAGAAATTCGGACTGAAGGATGGACAAGAGTTTACATGGGCACATGTGGCTGAATGGTACGTGCATGTAACTCTTAGCAATAGATTTTGTCCTTGAATCCTGATGGGATCTGATGAATACCATAATGTTAGGGGGCTACCCCCTTTTAAAAGAATTTACCCGGGTACCCATCGATTCCCCTACGGGAAGGGGGATGGGTTTGGGGTGAGCAGCGGCTTGACTTTCAGATAAGTGTAAGTGTCTCAGGAGCTGTGTGTCTTGTGGGAACTGTTTGTCTGCAGGATGTTCATGCCCGGTTTAGAACCGAGTCGCATTCGGACGTAACTGGGCGATTCAATGAGAGATTCATCATGTCGCTTGCATCTTGTAGGACATGTGTGGTGATGGATGATGAACTCAACATCTTGCCACTCTCCAGCCACATCCGTGAGCTGCAGCCTGTGCATCAGTTGGAGGTAGGCTTGCTGTAACTCATTGACTACTCACTGATAGTGTGATGACGCATCTATTCATCCTCTGTTTCTAGGAATGCTTGTATTTTTCTTCCGTTTGCTTCACATAGACTTTCGAATCAGAGGCGGAAAATGGATCTGTTTGCTGCATTGTTGTCGTGTATCTCCCCCCCCCGCCTTCCGTTGGGTAGCTAAACCGCTGTCTCTTATACACATCTAGATGTGTATAAGAGACAGGTGCTGTACTGGATTTCCTCACCCTTAGCAATTGTCTTTAAAGTCGAGACTGATATACTCCCCTCGGGTATGTGTGGTAATCCTCTTATATTGGTTTGATGACTAAAACAATTTCCACATTTCTTCTTCTCCGTTCCTCACTCTGTCGTTTTGATATTGGTGATATCGGTACTCTCCTCTAGAAGCCCTCCTGTTCCTGAAAGGGTTAGACCACCACTCCATCCGGGCCTGTTTTGACACACCAAAAGTTGCATTTCGGCAAGTCTAAAAAATACAGTGCCACTGTGAGGAAAAATAGTTATGGTACCCTTCCCGACCGAACCTCTACCGGGCCTGGGCTGGTAGTTGTAGACAAGGAAAATGAACGGTGCAGGGGCGGTTGGAGTGGTGGTTTGATTGTATGTATGCCTCTAGTTGCCGTATCTGAGGACCGTCAAAATGCACGTGGACAAGAATGCACCTGGATACGCATCACACACCTGATCCACTTTGTGGATTGTTGCTCCATCTCCCCTTGTGAATTTCCTGGTACATGAAGTGTTAATTTAAGGTGGCTTATCCTATGCCTCTGTTGGAATGCAACTGGACGACAACGGGTCTCGGTGCTGGGGTGTCTGTATTTGTGGGTGCAGTTTTTGACAGAGGCAGATGTGTTGCAATTAAGGCAAAGCATTTTATACAGGTATTTGGTCAAGCTCCTGTTTGGTTGATCCTGTGGCTTCTGCCACGAAGGAAGGTGCCATGAGGGTTTGGTTTTGGAAGTGCTCGGCGCTCGCCATTTCCGAGCATACTGACATGACCTGTTGTGTTGTGTGTGATTGTGAGAGATCAGCTCCCACCCATTGAGGCTTTGTGCGTCATCCTTCGCCAATCCCTTGCCTTGAATCTAGCGTGTGCCTGTTTATACATTGTGTCCGTCTGGGACATTGTGGCACTGGTTGCATGGGTTGTAGTTTCACTACTAAAAATAACTAATCATTTACTAACTGACCTTGCTCGAGTTTCGCATGTGAGGCTATATTTTGGATCAGAGATCAGTATTCAATCGGATGATCAGGATGTAAAAAAAAAACTTAAAAAAAAGTAATTCTAAATTATTTTGTTTTCTATTTTGTACTCTGATATTCAACCTGATTCCAGGGAGAAGAGGGCATGTCTGAAGCAGAGCGAGAACTAAAGGAGCTTAAGGAATCGTTGGCCGACACACAGCCTATTGGCAGCCTTGTTGCGAAGTGCCGAACTCTGGACCAGGTGAATGCCAATGGAAGTACCTGTGGGACCGGGGAAACCGTTTTTTCGTTGAGCATGGGAAAACATGGCCTGAGGGGTATGGCTGCTGGGAAACCTCTTTTAGTTGAGCGTGAGAAAACGTAGCGTGAGGGCACACAGCCTATTGGCAGCCTTGTTGCGAAGTGCCGAACTATGGACCAGGTGAATGCCAATGGAAGTACCTGTGGGACCGGGGAAACCTTTTTTTCGTTGAGCATGGGAAAACTTGGCCTGAGGGGTATGACTGCTGGAAAACCTCTTTTTGTTGAGCGTGAGAAAACGTAGCGTGAGGGCTCTGGCTCCGTTCCGTTCCGGGAATCACCACTTGGTGCCACAAATTGAATTATCGTACAATTGGCAAGGAATATCCGAACGCAGTTCATCATGTGGCGTACTGAGGGGGAGAGTGTGGACATACTTGGGTTTCACATTAGATTATTATTGTTCCCTCTCTCTATTGCTTCTCCAGGATCACCCCTCTCCCAGATCCTCCTGCATTGTCAGCTTCCTCTTGCTTCAGGGTAATTCCTCTCCCCCGTTCTTATGGCTGCTGGGAAACCTCTTTTTGTTGAGCGTGAGAAAACGTAGCGTGAGGGCTCTGGCTCCGTTCTATTCTGGGAATCACCAATCGGTGCCACGAATTGGATTATCGTACAATTGGCAAGGAATATCCGAACGCAGTTCATCTTGTAGCGTACGGAGGGGGAGAGTGTGGACATACTTGGGCTTCACATTAGATTATTATTGTTCCCTTTCTCTGCTGCTTCTCCAGGATCACCCCTCTTCTGTCTCCTCCTGTTTGTTGTCAGTTGGGGGGTGAGAGGGGCCAGGGGGGAGAGGGGGGTGTTTGGTGGCCTGTCAACGATGCAGTAGTATCCTCCAACTTTCAAGCGTCCGGAGTTTTCCCAACATCAGGATGTCCCAAGCACGAGTGGCCCGAACCTGCACCTACATGCCTTGTCCTATTCCTTGCAAGTCTCACTGAACAGTCTGTTGCAGTCCCATGTTTTTGGTTCTTTTCTCCCTTTCTTCCCCCACGCTCCATAGGGCAGGCGGTTCTTTGGGGCAGTATACGTTCATGACTTGCTAGCTCCCTGTCAATGGTTCACCTGGCACGTCCAAAATGGCAGTGGCTGGGGCTGATCTTGACTGCCATTCTCTGTGAGTTTCATGCCAGCTGTGTGGTGTGTGTGGACTCTGAAGTGTATTTTTTGGCCGTGATAGGCCTTTCTTTGTTGGCTTGGTTGGGGCATTCCTGGCTGCCGAGGGTGGGGTGTGAGAAACAGTCCGTGGAGTATTCTGCCTGACGTAGATGGGTTACAGTCTACTATTGTTTTCAACGTTCTCCTCCTCCTTGCATGCTCTTTCCAATTACTTTGTGTAGCTGACTGATCCTCCTGCCATTGTTGGAGTGTGCTTGAGCAGGCCAAAGCGGTGATCACATTTCTGGATGCAGCGTCAGAGAAAACACTTCGGAGCACAGTTGCTTTGACTGCTGCGCGTGGGCGTGGTAAGTCCGCCGCATTGGGTGTGGCCATTGCGGGGGCAATTGCACTGGGGTGAGTTGGCTTCACCCCACCATTCTCATTGTGTGGGTGCACGTTCCATTGTGAAATTGGCAATGTTGCTCAAGTTCCATGCCTTTCCGTCTTCGTTTTCGATGAGTGATTGAAAGAGATGGCTACTAGTCTACCTGCTAGGGGTGCATACGCAAGCCCTAAGGGGGGAGTTTGTCTTCTTGAATTGGAAGGTCTCTTGTAATGTCGTACACTCTTCTCAGTATAGTTCTCTAAGGTGGGCTGCATTGCACTCGAATTCTTGAAAATGATTCTAAGGACCAGGCCTCACGGGTGCCATGTTTATGCTAAGAATGTGGACCCCCGTGAATATGTCCACATGCTTAGCATAAACATGGCACCGGTGACACCTGGTCCTTAGAAGCATTTTAAAAAATTCGAGTGCAATGCAACCCACCTTACAGAACTATACTAAGAAATTTCAGGGTTCCACAGATTAGCGTAGCGCTAGCGGGGCCGAGGCCTTACATTTAGATCATCTCAAGGTGTGTTCCTGAGATTCTGGTGGGCATATAGTCTGTCGAGGCAAGTCATAGGTTTGGCTACGCTCAGGGGCAAGCCCCACTGGTGCTATGTTTGTGTCAGCTGCATGAACCTATGTGTGCAGGTGGTTAGGTTCATGCTCCTTGGCACAAGGTAGCATCAGCGGGGCCTGTGCTAAGAAGCGTTGGGACGTATTCATTTCGACTCAGGAGTTTGCTTTCGCTGCTGAGTTCGGTTGTTTCCGAACGTTGGTTTGTTATGGGGTTTTCTGTTGAGTCTAGGCCCTAGGGAGAATAGAACAGCAGTAGCACAGCCGGGCCTGGTCTAAGAAGCGTTGGGACACATTCATTTCGACTCAGGAGTTTGCTTTCGTTGCTGAGTTCAGTTGTTTCCGAACGTTGGTTTGTTATGGGGTTTTCTGTTGAGTCTAGGCCCTAGGGAGAATAGAACAGCAGTTATCGGGACTGAAGGGATGGCACTCCAAGATGCAATTGAGAAATTCCGATACGCATTTGTCAGTTGAGATATGTTGTGGGATCGCACATGTCAATCAATGGGTGATACGTCTTTTATAAGCTATAGACTAGATGTTGCTTGCTGCTACTGTCTTCACCCGAATAGAACGCCTGGTAACTATTGCCGTATCTGGGCTGAAAGTTGTGCCAAATGCAGCTATAATGACCGGGCGTTCTATTCGGGTGAAGACGGTAGGTATGTTGACATCTTGTGACAGGTTATTTGGTTTTGCTCAACTGTCCTGTTGAGTTTGGCTTGTGGAAAGGAGGGGAGCGAGGGGAATGAGAGGGACCCAGATCTATGTGGGATTCCTGTTGTTAAATGAGCTAAGCAATGCTGTCCTTGGATAAACTCTTTATTGTCCAGGTACTCTAACATTTTTGTAACGTCTCCGAGCCCAGAGAATTTGAAGACTCTCTTTGAGTTTGTATTCAAAGGATTTGATGCAATAGAGTACAAGGTAAGCTTCTGCCTTGCAGCTGGATTAGGGAGGGGAGTACGAGGTGTTGTTCTTCATTTGAAAAAAATGAAACATCTTTGTCGAAGATTGGCATTATGGGAATCATTCTGCACTTTTCACTGGATTTTTGATTGTTTCGTCACTCCACTGTGTGAAATCTCTAAGCAGTTGTACTCCCTGCTAACTCATTCCCTCCCTTGTGGACGGTCAATGACAACCTGTGCACCAATAGGAGGTCGAGCCTTCTTTGACGCCGGCTGGATCCCTTTGATCTACGGCTGTGTATGTGTGCGGTGTGGTTTTCTAGCAAACTGTTCGCTCAGCGGCTCGTTTTTGCCTTTTTGAGCTTTTGTTGTGTTCAAAAGAACCAGCTGTAGGGCCTTGCCAAACCACTCACCAGATCCAAAGAAACTATGTCGGGTGCCACTGTAAGGTATGTTCTGCTCTTTGCACATTGGTGAGTAGTGGGGGGAGGCCCTTACATTTGGCTGTGTTCTGTGTTATGATCCTGGATATCTCACAGTGCAAAACTCAAAAGAAGGGCAATGCCATTCAGTTGCAACTTAAATGAAAGAGATTGGAAAGAGAAAAAGTCAAAAGGAGGGAGAAGAATGGAGGATGGAAGAAGAAGAAGAAGAAGAAGAAGAAGAAGAAGAAGAAGAAGAAGAAGATGATCACAAGCAAGAACCAATGTCACTCCTCCCTCATCTCGCCTCTATCTCCCAACCGCAACATCTCTCCCAATATCTAATTATTAATGATCACAACAATAACAATAACAATGAATGAATGAGCTAGAATCAATGTACGAATTCTCCCCTTACTGCGGGCTACTCAAGAAGTCCACCATGTCCACCATAGCCACCCTACACCCTCTTCTACATCTCGGCCGAGATGGTGGCTGTGGCGGACCATCGGGGCCCAGCTCCATTGTCGAAAGGACAACACAAGACTACTATGCCTGTCCGACTTCTGCCGCCATGCCACATTCCACACCCAGAGTCTTCCTTCAAAGTGTAACCCCACTTGGGGACTTCCAGGTGCAGTGCCAACCAAGAAGATGAAGATGGAGACCACCATAGCCAATGTAAGTTCCCTTCTTCACTCTCCTCTTCTTCGTCGTCGTCCTCCTCCTCCTTCCTCCTCCCTCACTTATCCTCTATAGCCATGTCTTCCTCCACCTCTGCCTTGGCATCTCCCACCGTAACCGAGATGGCAGCCAAGCTCTGCCTGCTTCCTCCAACCAGCACCTGAACCAACTGGGGAGCGCCTCCAGTATCCTCACAGCTTGCAACTGGGAGAATGGGGCTGAGTCCAGCGTTGCCTCTCTTCATATACCGGCTGGTGGACTCCCTCGTGTGGTTTTCCAGCTACCCGGCCTCTAGGCCTACTGGTTCCCCTGCCCGTTTCAGCAGGAACATCTTTGCAGTCTGATATCTCCCCTTTGCAGGCTCTGGAGTCAGGCCTTACCGGGTCGGCACCTACCTCTAAGCCTACGGGGCCTCTAAAAGTCTAACTAGGCCTACCCAAAGGTACTACCTTTCTGTCCTTTTCTGCTTCCTACCCCCTGCTACTTGATTTCTAGCCTCTGGGGGCTCTCTTTTCCTACTCTACCTGCTGCACCCCCAAAACACACTGCCACAGGGTAGTACCAGGCCTGAAGGCCAGTCCAGCACACAGGCCATCCCCAGTGGGGCGCACACACATGCGCAAGTTCTCAGTCAAGTGGCTAAGCACACGGGACACAGATATCAGCAAGCACGTAGACTACACACACACACACTCAGCGAACACAGAAAATCACGGCAGAACATGGAAATCCCAGCAAATCAGTCTAGCAAGCAGCAATACTCTGGAAACAGCGGATTTCTCAGTCCGCAATTTTGCAGTTCATTACATCTGCTTCTTTTTTCACATAATACGACGATATTTTCAACCCCCAAAGGTGCATGTTTGTTGAACTTATAGAATGCATGCCGGCTGACCTACTTCTACCTGTATGGGCTTTCCCTGCTACCGTCTTCCTCAAAGTAGAATGCGGGGTCAATGTAGCTCTCTATGGGCAGTTTTCGGTCTAGATACAAAGATAATGACTGTACGTTCTATTCGGGGAAAGAGGGTACCTGGGGGTACCGCTCTCTTTTTTCTCCTCTTCCCTCCTCCTCCTCCTCCTCCTCCTCCTCCTCTTCTTCCTGCTCCACTCGAACATTCGTCGTGTGTCTCTCCCTCGCCCCAACGTTCATCTCCTCCTATGCTTTCTCTCGCCTTCTTTCCGCTTCTCTTTCTCTTCATTTGAAAGATAGGTACAAGAGGAGGAGGATGAAAAGAGGAGGAGAGGAGGAGGAGGAGGAGGAGGAGGAGAGTAGTAGTAGGAGGGGAATAGGAGGAGGAGAGGAGGAGGAGGAGGAGGAGGAGGAGGAGGAGGAGGAAGATGAGGAGGGGCATGAAGATGTGCGGGCAGGCAAAGACCTCTAACCNNNNGAGAGAGAGAGAGAGAGAGAGAGAGAGAGAGAGAGAGAGAGAGAGAGAGAGAGAGAGAGAGAGAGAGAGAGAGAGAGAGAGAGAGACCCTGTTCCTATTTGTTCGATCAAGCTAGAACAATCTTAACTAAAAGGAAGCCTTTCATAAAAGTAGGAAAAAGGGAAAAACAAAGAAGGGAGGTTGAATCCTCGAAAAGTAAAACCTTCTCTCTGCTCCCTTTCCTTCCCTTCCATCTCCTTTTTCCCTTCTCTTCTGTTGCCTTCCTTTCATTTCGGATCCTCTCCACTTCCCGGTTGCCTTCCCTTTTTTCCGTGAAATTATTTCGCACGATGATTTGGTGTCCTAGGTTCACTTGGAGTGTACGCTTGAGCGTGCAAATCCTAGATGAGTGACAAAGATGAAAGGAAAAAATCGTTGTTTAACATGGCTTGAGGCAGTGGCAGCGGGAGCTTAAGAGGGCCAAACGATTTCTGTATGGTACACTGGTGTATGGTGTATGACTCTTTTGCTGTGTGCTCTGGGATGATGGTTATTTAGCGTACTATTGTGCTGATTTCGACGTGCCTCTGTTTTGCAGGAACATATTGATTATGACCTAGTAGAGAGCACGAATCCTGCTTTCAACAAGGCCATTGTTCGTGTTAACGTATTCAGGCAGCATCGACAAACTATTCAGGTAGGTGCCTCCTCCCTGAATGTATGAACATGGCCCCTTTACTCGGGGGAGCGTCTGTCTCGCTGTACACGTGCGAATTCCAGGTTGTGTTATTGACTGGTGTGTCATGTTGTATTTGCAAGCAGACTTATAGAGTTTTTTCTGCTATGCATATTCTTATAGGCAATGCTTGTCAGAGCAAATGGAAGGGGGGCATTCCATGGTTTATATCATGGCCTTGACGGGACAGCATGCGGGTCTAGTGTCACATGGCCTATGGTCTTCCCCCGAAGATAGCGTATGGTAATTATGTCTTCATTTGGGGAAACTTTCAGTCTAGCCACAGCGATAATGACCGTACGTTGTATTCAGGGGAAGACAGTAGTGCGGGCGTACTGGTTAGGATGCTGGCCAACCAATCCCGTTCCAAGCGTGAGGTCTGCGGGGCCAGTCCTGCCACTGCGGGTCAAGCACATTGCGTGCTGTCATGGCGTGTTTATGGGTGTGTTCAGAGTGCGTCCACTTTAGGTGAA